AAAAAAAAAAAAAACGAGAAAAAAATATGATAATAATACTGTGGCGATGTTCAAAGTTCTCAATTAAAAGTTCAATTAGTTTGGTGTTTTCAATGAAAGTTAGTTCACAGGACTGAAAGGAAAGGGGAACAAAAAAGTTAGTGAAGACGAAGAGTGATGAACCACCAGCAAGAGGGGAGGGGTGTTGGGGAGAAATACAAATAGATTTTAAATTAATGTAGTGTACTTTTTGAGATTTTTTAGTCTATTAATGGATAACCTTACTGGATGAGAATCTTGGCACTAAGTTACCTAGTAATTACTGACTCAGTTACCTAATGTTTACTTCAGTTATGCACTTTTTCAAAATGTTATTTTCTAGTTTAATTCAGTCATAGTTTAATCGTCAGCAAACTTGATTGTCCCCAAGGCTTTAGACATTCAGTCAGGATCAGTCGGTGAGCATTAAACAGAATTTCAGAATTAACTCTAGCACCTAAAAATGTTTCGACAAAGTTCCAATCATATTAACAATATTTTAAAAAGAGCATTAGAACAACATTAGTACAATTTTGTTCCCCAGTGAAAATGCGGTCAGACAAAACACTTAATAGGGTGATGGAGAAGAAGGGGCCAGACGAGTGTTTCATCTGAATAATCTAAAACAGTTTCCCAAGTTAGGTGAAATAAAATAAGTTGTAGTCGTAGTGATATTTCATGCTTCTTTTCTTCTAATTGTTTCTCTTTTTCCCAGTCAGAATAGAATGATAAAATTGACTATGCTTGATCAAACGGCGAAAAGGAGAGGAAATAGAAGAGGATGACAAAGAAAAAAATCATAATTTTTGTTTTTATGCTTTGATACAGAAAGTTGTTGGTTTATGTAATTGAATTTTACAGGTGTTATAATCAAGTAAACTGACTGTGGGAATAAAGCTAAATGAATATTTAGTCTTCACATGATAGGAGATCAAGAAAAAAAAGAGAAAGGACGGAAGGGAAATAAATGACAAGAGAAGATAGTTTTTTGCCTGTTATTTTTTTCAATTGTTATTGCATATCAATATTTCATTGTGAGGAAGAATTTTGGTGGTAAAGTAAAAATTTGATCTTTGTTTACTTTTTATGCATTACTGAAAGAAACAAAAAAAAAAAGAGAAATAGGCAAGAAAGAGAAAGAAGTAAAAATTTAGTTGACTTTTTCCTAGAAAAAAAAGTAGCCTAGTTTTTATTAACATTACTCTTCATTTTGTTTTCTTGTTTTCTTAACAAAGGATTAAATGTATATTTACATAGAAATAATTGGGCTTTCGTTTTGGTCTAAAAGTTGACATTGCTCGACCTAATCATACCAACGACAGTATTGCCATGTTGATTATCGGACAAATTTTTGTCTTGTTTTGTAAACAGAGGTTAAGGGAGAGGAGGAGGAAATGCGAAGGGGACGGTTTAGTGCAGCCGAGAGGAAGGAAATACGAAATGAGGGAAGAAAAGAGTTTAGTTTTATTTTTTCTTTCTTTTTTTCTTTCTTTCTCGAGAAACCGAAGAAAGCGCATTTTTACGGGAACATTCTGAGACTGCGTTGCTGTGGTTGTTGTTGTAGTTGTTGCTAATTTTATTTGTTTCATTAAATAATGCCATTTGGACGGATAAGCAGAAAATAAAATGGATTTCTTTATGCGAATAAAAAAGAAAAAAATATGATATATCAAAGATGACTTGGAGAAAAAAGGAAGAGAACGAAGCTGATAGCTGAAACGGAAGGTAGGAGAAACCAAAGCGGTGGAAAGAGGAGGCATGAAAAGCAGTAATGGGTAACATAAGCAAAAGTATTTTGGAAAAATTGTTGATATGCAAGTACGCAAATGAGCACATTTACATGGAGATATATTGACAACAAACGAAATTTGAACCTTGTAACCACATCATAGTATCTTTTCACGTAATGGATTAATTTCTCGTTCAAGAAATTTTTCCCAAGATTTTTTAATGCAATAATTGCTGCATTCCAGTAAGCTGTCACTTGTTGGGTGGTAACAGCCAAATTTGTATTGCTCAGCAACAGTAGCATTAGGATTCAGTGGGAAATGGAAAGAAGGAAGGGGAAAATTTATAAGGACTTTTAGAAAATAATATCATTTTGCATAAATTATGATACATAGTTTTTGTTTCTAATCTCTGATCTATGTTTGACATTTAAAGTTTATCATCGCATTTACGGCACTGATACACTAGTGAACTGCAAGCTGGGAAATTAGTAATAGAAAATCTGCGAGAATTTGTTGGCTGATTAGGTTGATCAATTTGCAGGATATTTTTAGACTCATTATATCTTTTTTTAGGTTCTTGATTACCACAGTTCCTCAGAGACAAATAGCTATTTGTTTTGTTCGATTAAGTTTTTTTTCTGTTCTCTGCTTATTATCACCGCTGATGTCTGCAAGCAAAAGTTCTGTAGCTTTGCAAAAAAAAATATATATATATATATTCTTTAGAGAATTTATGTCTTTTGGTTTATTGGATGAAATGAAAGAAAGAAAAAAAAAAGAGAAGCAAAAAAATCAGAAGTCAAATAGTTAGCACAAATTTTTTTAAAATAGTGTAAAGAAGGAAGAAGCAAAAGAAAATAAAGTTTTTTTGCTTTTGGCTGCTGTTAGGCCTAATTGTGAGATGCTGTTTTTTGATGACCTTAACCAATAGGTATTTTCATTAGCGTGTGCTAACAACAGCAGACAAAGCAGGAAAAAAAGCATTTTTTTTGCTTAAATTTTCTACTTTTTACTGTTGCTGTTCACAGTTGATGGATAAAGTTTCGTTTACAAAACGATCTGATGGGAAGAGATGGCAGTATGAAAAGAAGAAGATAATTGAGAAGTTTAATACAACAACAAAAAACGGTTTTATTTGTATCAGTTTCTTCACTTGTTCTTTTTTTTTTTTAAACTTTTTTTTCCACTTCTTTTTAATTTTTTTCTGCTTCTTTTGTAGCAGGTTTAGTGCTAGCTATTTCTTTGACAGAGGCGAAAACTTTGTACTTGCTTTGATCTGTTAGAACAATAGTCTTTTCTGCGGCTAGCAAAAAAAGGCAACTTTTTATCTCATTAAACCGTTTAAGAGAAATAAAACATATACGTAGAAGAGCCGTGACTACTACTAAATTTAACTTTTTTTTTTTGAGTTTAGGGAGACTGCGAAAAAATGGATAGGTTGGAAGTGGGAAGAAGGAAAAGGGAAGAGGAAGATGGTTCAATGGAAGAGAGGACATTGGAAGAGGGCGATTGATATGTGTATCATCTATTTTTCATTGAACTGTTCCAGTTTTAATTCATGATTCATGAATTTCCTTCTCTAAAAAAATTGCTCTTAAGGTTTGCTGTGTCGTTTATTTTTTAGACTTTAGTTGAATGTTGCAAAAAAAATAAAAAAATAAAAATAAAAACAGCAATTTTTGCTCTTTTCTTTTTGCTAAGGATTTGTCGTAAGCTTATAAATTAAGCAGCTCTTATGAGGGATAATACATGAAGAGTGGAAGAGGAGGGTGGGGGAAGAAAGAACGGTGGATGATAGCAGGAAGTTGGCTGGCAGAATGGTTAACTAAAAACTGAACAATCAAATAGGTTTTTTTCTTTGCACTTTTTGCTGATTACCAATAAGTTGTGTAAAATTTTTTTTATTACAAAGATAAATAAATA